AAGTGAAGGTGGTGGAAAAACCCTTTGTCCAGGGTGGGACACACACACACACACTGGAAGAGCGAAAGCATCCAAGTGCGAAGTATGCCAGTGTCAAAGTATGCAAGTGTAAGTATGCAAGCATGATATGCAAGGGTGAGCATGCAAGCATGCAATGACTATGCAAGCATGCAATGAGTAGGCAAGTGTGAGTATGGAAAACTAGCACGGGAGATGTCCTAATGAAAAAACATTTCCCCACTTTATAAATTCTCTCTTAAAGGCGGAGTGCGGGACGAACAGCATCAACCGAAAGTGCAACCCTCTGCGGAGATCGTGCGTGTCGAGTGCGCGAAATGCAGGTGAGAGTAAGTTATATTCACCGCATATGGGCCTAATTTCGTGGCAGTTGGGGTCTGCTCTTAACATCCGCTACCATGGAGAGCAAAGAACAAAGAAGTGCCTGGAATCATGCTAAGCACAAAGAGTGCAAGGCAGCATGCTAAGCACAAAAGTGCAAGGCAGCGTGCTAAGCACAAAGAGTGCAAGGCAGCATGCTAAGCACTAGGGGTGTCCAAATGCAACACATAAAGGTGCAAAGAAAAACATTGTTTATGTAGTAACCTTTCCAAAAACCTGGTATCAAAACGCTTAGCCAGTATCCCAGGGAGCTGTTAGGACCCCTCGCGAGAGCCAGGCCAGGAATTAGGACACATGGGCCAGGATTGATTTTCATCGTGGAGCCCACTGCCAGGGACTTAGAAAAGGGTGTGTTCAGGAAAGAAGCCACTTCTTGCAGTGCGATACTATAGTTCTTGCAACCCGTTGATTGGAGATCATGTTGCGCACAGTCACTCACACAGTCAAATACTTCTTGAGCGACAAGAACACTGATTTTAAACATTCTGTTAGCAACGTGCAAGGTGAAGAAGTGGCCACCAATCAGACCCGAACAGGACCGGATCTGTGTGACTGTGTTGTGTTGATCTGTGTGTGATGTGCCACAACCAGCCTGAACCTGTAAACCTGGCAGTGATGAAAACACTGGGCAACACTAAGTAAACACTACATCACCCACCCACTTGGAAGGACCTTGGGGACGCTCGCCTTCTTCAACATGTTCTAGAGGCCCGCTGGGGCTTTTCTCTCGAGCGACGTCGAAGCCAACAGTTTTCTAAACATTTTCCCACCTCTCCAAGTCCCAGTTCCCAGCCCTCTGATCATTTTCCACTCGGATTGCAATATCTTGCCGTCGTAGGCCTGTCACAATGGGCACACAGCTGATGGTCCGGCACCCCGACGGTCCGGAGTCCCAAGGCAGAAAACTTCAAGCACTTAGCCATGTGGAGACTTGTGGTTTCCCCATTCTTCTGTTTTGTGAGAGTGAGGTGGAAGTTCAGAGAACACTCTTTCACCTAATGCCACCAGCAGCCATTTGAATGAGGGGATGCATCAACAGCATGCCGCCTCCGTTCAACCTAGAGAGGATGTTGAATTCTCGGAAGCGGCCGGCGTCCTCCGCGTCCTTTGTTGCGAAACGCCCGGCCTCAGCGGTGAACCGCCCGGGCTTCATGGACGATCCTGATCCTCAGATGCCACGCTTGGGGCTTCTCAGCTTTGACTGGGGTAGTGGGTATCAGCTTGGCGCTTTTCCATTTTTTGCTGCAGGTGTTTTTCTGAATGAATCTCGTGTGGATTCTATCGGATGCCGAGGCCGTATCCAATTCCCAAGACATCGGGCGATTTGTGGTCTCTTCGTTTGCAAATGAAAAAACATGAAAAAACTATCTACCCCTACCGCTACCTAATTACCCTCTTGCTGCCTATACCCTTTTCCAACCCTGCTCTTGGTTTGACCCGGCTGAGGAAGTGGTCTACAACATTGCTCGAACGCACCGCGCGTTTTTTTGGAAAGGACTATGTCATACAGAAACTGCGAAGCAAGCCCGCAGCAAGTTTGACAACTGGAGCAAGTTGCAACAACGTGTTATTTCTAAAGTGCTCTCACATTTCTACACAACTATGTTTGCGCACTTCTCGAAACAAGGACAGGTCGATATGAGAATGGCGGATCTATTTGGGGGATGCCTATGCGTTCGCCGGGCTTGGGAGCAGCTTGCGAGTGCTGCTAAGAACCTGTGGGGGCTAGAGTTGAAAGGTTGCATCAAATATGCTTTCACCGTTTCTCGGATACAATCTTTTATATATATATATACATCAAATATGTGGTCAGTTGGTTTGTGATTCTTTCAGCACAACATCTATGGCATCTATGGGTCCATGAGCCAACCATATTGAGCTTAGGTGGACAACAACAGGGCATGCATCAAACTCAGCACAGCTGAGTACACAGATTGTACGTTCACGGATGTCTTTGACCTTGCTAGTGGCCCCGAACATGAAGACAACTGGATTCCTTCGAAGATGAAGGTGCACACACATGCAAAATGTGCTCAGCACAAGAAATCGTGCCTCGACTTGACTCAACCAAATGATGTGGCACCCATGTACAAAAAAACGTTATGAACATACGGCTTCAGGTGCCCAGTTCCTATTGAGAAGGATCTCCTCCTGGCAATTGGGGCTCCGTGCATCTTGTTCAGCAGGCCGGGAAAGTCAATCCAGGCCTGTTGTTTGGATGGACATGGAACTCATTGGACCCACTCTGACAGGTATGGACTCAAGGAGAAATGGTCCAACACCCTCAAGAAGCGTGTCCATGATTCAGCAGTCAAGCTGCAGCAACGAGTACGAGTTTCAATTCACGAGAATGTTGTTGGCTACGAGGAGGACTCAATGTGCGATTTGCACTGTCTCGTGTATTGTTTTGGATCTTTACTTCATTGATGACTAATGTGTTTTTGTTGAGGACTATCTGGACAAGTACTTGAAGGGCCATGCTCGTGAAGCAGTTCGGCCCACACCTCAACCCTCTCAAAAACATTCAAAACTGTTTGGAAGCTGTCATGGCAATTCGTTCATGACATTAGGAAAACCCATATAGAAGAAGTGGCCCCGCTCAGGCTTGATGGGCGTCTATTCGGCCATCCACATGCTCGCGAACGAGTTTGGAGGATCTGCTATGAAAGGGCCAGCAAGCAGTGGAAGTGTCCGTTCAGTTTGACAGAGCTGGCAAGTATCATCCTAGCACCGAACAGTGAATTGAAGCTTGACTACTCTGCCTATCTAATTGCCGCGCCGTCGACCATTGACCGTGCAGAAGTCTTCGAAACTGATTTGACACAGTTACTTGTCCTCACCAAAGAACCAAAGAAACCAAAGAAACTGGTTTCACACACCTCTTAGTTACTCGTCCGTTAGTTTTGAGACTAGAACCATCTTGAGCGGTCTTCAGAAGCGTCCTCGTCCAACATTGAGGTCCCAAACAGAGCATCTCAAAGGCTTCCGCAAGATTGCCAGCAACAAGGCCGTGTACGACCTGAGCCAAGATCCCAAGCACCGCAAGAGGACTGAGAACATGGACAACACCTTGCCATGCCTCACAACCTCTTCACAGCTTTGGTTCCTCAACCCAACATGGTATGTTCATGAAGCAGTGGGGTCGTAAATAATGGATGTCGCCCCGTTGATTGTTGGCTTTTCTCAGGGTGGAACCTGCTGGCCGCATGATGCTTCCGGCTGAGCAGCTGGCTTCGCTTGGCTATCCATGCCTTCCGCCTGTAGCAGACACTGCCGGTGTGGATTCTTACCTCAATCCTGGTCTTCTATTCTCAAAGTCACTAGTGATAGAGGGAAGCCTGAAGTGTGTTGTCCAGGACATGTTGTCTCAAGATTTTTGAACACCCAAATGTTCAGGAGCTTGTGGACCTGAGCCTGTTGGACCTTAGCGATGCCGCCGTCCGGAAGATGGCCGGCAACGGAATGCAGCTGGCGCAAGCCGGATTTATCCTTTTGATGTGCCTGCTGTGTGTCGAAGACAAATAGCGCATCATAAAATACAAGTGTGCCCGACCAATACAAAAGGTGTGAGAACATGTTTTTTCTACAGTCGTGAAATTTCCTTGGTGGTAGAGTTGGCAAGTCAACCCTGTAGTAAGGGTTCATGTCTGCTTGAAAGCTCAAGATGCCTCCATTTGGGACAGAGGGTGAGGAGAAAAGGGTTAAACCGTTGCCCTTTGCATCCTTTGGCCATGCACGGGCGCCTTCGAAGAAGCCTCCGTCCAAGCTGTATGGTGTAGAGCCTGAAGAGTCAGGCAAACCGGTTCGACCAAGTTCAACACCCACACCTAGATCGAGAGTGTTCCAAGATGAGCCAGAAGAACATGTCATGGCACCGCGGAAAAAACAACGAGTTGCCAATCCTGCTCTGTTTGGGACAGAGCCCGAGGAGAACCAGTCCGATGATTCTGGCTCCCCTTCATCATCCTCTGACGAACATGTACCTATGAAACAAACAGTGTTCTCGTTGGGATGGCATTCTATGACTGCATTGCAAAACGCATCATTTTGGAAAGAGAACAGCAATGACAAGAACAGTGTTCAGCCAAAGCGTACCTACAACAACGCCAAACGGAGTTCAGAGGCCGTGTATGCTCGCGAAAAAGGACATGGTGTCCACAAAAGGAATGGTCTTGCCCCCTCGAGATTGGTTGCACTGTTTGATTTGGAAAAATGTCAGTGTGCCATGAATGCATATAGTCTCACAAGCGCTGTCACAAGTCACTAACACTTTGTAACAAAGCCTAACACTCACTAATATAAAACACATTGACGTCTTTCTTGACTCCAAATCCCAGGTGCAGAGAAGGTCTGCTACCAGCAGTTCCGATCGTCCAAGGACTTCCCAGCCTTCTTGCAGAAATTTTGGGATTTGCCCAAGGTTGACCAAGATGCATTGGCACCTTGGACACGCAATCGCTTGAGCAGCATCACAAAAAAATAATGTCACATGGTTGGCCAGTTCGACCCTGCTATCTTCTCTGAGAAACCTTGAACTTAATATATATATATACTTGCAAATGGCCCGGTCAACTGAGCGTCTGTCCACTAAGTTACAAATGACCTTGTCTACTGGAGACACCGGTGGCTCTACAAAGTATATGTTGCTTGACAAGTCGGTGGGGGCCAAATGTTTGGCTGCGCTGCTTGGCATAGGCCATGGGAGGCTTGGCAAAGGAGCAGCTGGGGCTCCAGACTTGCGGTTTGGAAAGCGGGAGCATGAAAGCAAGCCTGCCACATGGTCGGTAGATGGATTCTTGCAAGTTGCTTACGATGCCATTGCTGAGACCCTTCCCGACCAGCTCCTTAGCTCCCCAAAAGTCTTATAAAGTACATGAATCATGTTTCCAGGTTTCTACAGATGTGGATCACAACTTCTTACTGGATTGAGACTTCGCCGCCCAGGTTCATCCGGAGAGGCCGAGCCTTGTCGAGGAAAAAGGACCTCGACGATGATGGTCCCAGCGATTTTGAGGAGATAGCCTCAGATGTAGAGCAAACTGATGACTTGAGGGCTTGGTTGTCGACCCGCAGTTTCACAACTGCAAGATTGGTTCCTGGGGAGAGCTTGGTTCGGAAGTTTCTTCCACCAGGCACTATCAACGACCTTTATGAACATTACCGGGCAACACAATCTATGCTAGGAGGGCCCACAGTTTCGCAACACATCTGCAAGCTAGTCACTTTTGGCAATCATCCCACTGGTTTTGTAAGTGTCAGCCATCAACACCAATGCCAAGGTATGGAACATTTCTCAGAGTCTACCAGCGGCGTTGGAAGGACATTCTTGGTTTTAGGCAGAAAAGCCTATTCACTACTTGCGAAATTTGCTCGATCCTGAAATCACAGTTGGGGGACAAAGCATTGAGTCTAGAACAAAAGCTTGGGACTCTGCAGCAGTACAGAACCCACCTTCATGACCAGTATGCCGACCGCACGGTCCTGTGGAAACTCCAAAGCGAAAGCGCAGATATCTCCACTGATGTGCTGCTGATCAGCACGGACGGCCTAGACCAGTCCAAATTTGGTCTCCCTAGAGACCCATCTCTTCGCACAAACGCGGCTTTGAACTAGGGTGGCGTTTGGAACTGTTTCTTATGCTTGGGCCCTTTCTTAGTGCTTTTCTTGGAGCCCGGGCAATGAGTGGGTTGCTCAGCTGTGCCCATGCCTGAGGAGCAAGCACATCAAGCCTCGCGTCAAGATACACGGAGCATGGGCATTCGGGTACTGCTTGAATGTCTATGTGCTAGATGAGAGTGGGAAGCATGACTCCTCAGCCATCTGCGAGATACTGTCACAGACCATAGAAGACGTGCCTAGGATTCATTTATAGCAAGAGTTGAACCAAGCTTTTCATGAATCCTTGAAAGGCATCAATGGCATTGCCTCCTAGTACATCTCCTCTCAACCTTTCGGTCAGGTCATGCGGATATGCGATGACGAGGGGCGCCAGAGACCGACCTGCCTCCTCATCAATGTCACTTGGCAAAAAAGGCGTAGCCTTGGTCGAGCCTTGGACGTGAGCCAGAGTCGCCCCCTCCAGGTCCAACAGGGCATAATAGGTCAATGTGTGAAGGTGGGTTACGTATAGCCTGTTTCTTTGAACCTACTAGGCAGACAACACGGTGAGAGAAGCAAAGAATCAGATCTGCCTCTCTTACATCCACCTCTTGGTCAGCAAACACCGTTTTCGGACTGGTTGCCTGTGCCACCTTCGCAAGTCCCACACCCACTGCCGCATTGGACCCTTGGCTTATAATCAGGGCATGTTTTTGAGGGAGCTGGGGAACCTAGTCACTCACCTTGCCTGTGACCCTGCCCCACAATTGAGATCAACTTTGGGGCGTGATCTCGCGGAGAGTGGGGTTCGAAGATGAGTTGCTGGAGCCACTGGACGTTATTCAAGCTATCCGTGACGAGCTGTCCAAACCAACAATCAAAGACTGGATTGGCCGCGGGGTCCGCGTCACAGTGGAGAAGATGGACTGTACCAGAAACTGGCGAAGTCATGTGTCTGGTACGGGTGTCAAACTAGAAGGTGGTCTCCTAAAGGACGACACCGGCAACCACCTTTTCCTTTGCATGCAGCGGAGAGGTGGGGCACAGTAAACATACCTTCAGGTGAGGTCTCTAGGATCCTTCAGGTGAGGTCTCTAGGATCCTTCAGGTGAGGTCTCTGGGATCTAAGTCATAAATAATTGTGAACATGCATTCACGGATAATTGCTCTCCCCTGAAGATGTACCCCCGCCGTTCTTGGACCAGATCAACAATGGCTCATTCCGTGGTCGACCTTCAGACTTTGATGTGATCTCGTTCATCAAGAAGCACATCTGTGATGCAAGCCTTTCACAAGCCCCAATGCTTGTGCTTACCGAAGGGAGGGCTTCCAGGATGACCCTAGTGCCACCGCGTGATGTGAAGTAGCCCAACACAAACAAATCGCTTTTCCACCAAAAGGTTTACAGAAGTTTACAGAAACAGTCAGGGGAGCTTTTACCTGGCTAGGCACTCCGGTAGCCAGCTAAAAACATGGTTTTACCGCGAATCTGAATGTCTAATGATTGCGATCACCAAGGCCAAGCAACAATCATACACCGGCCCTCGCTGCTTCTTGGAGGAAGCTGGCATCAACTGTGCAGTACTGCTATGGACACAAGTACGCACGTGCGATTGACTACCTAGAAAGTTTGGCCAGTAATGAGTTTTGGCAAAATGCCACACCTGCACTATTGCCATGGCATGAGGCTGCAGCCCTTCCAGTGGCAATAGGAGCACCCAGGTACATAATGCATGAGTCAGTCTTGAACGCTTTAGCCCCATCAGTGCCCCTAAGGGCCATTTTTGGAGGCGATCGCAATCTTTAGAGAAAATTGTTTTTGGGCTTCGGGGTTGGTGATCCCAGGCGGCCAGTGACCCCAGGCAGCCCAAGCAGTTGGCCCAGGGCTCCACACCAACTCCACACCCGCTTCACCTCAGGTCAAAGGCAAACCAGGCCACACTTTTCGATCAGGAAGTTGAGAACTCTTCGATGGAGTCGGGGGCCCACACCCACAGGGTCGATGCACTTGGGGGTCCCACACCCATAGGGTCGATGCACTCGGGGGGTTCCACACCCACAGGATCGATGCACATGGCATGTCCCACCCAAGTTTTTCGATGCACCTGGGGTTGGCCCAAGCACAGGGTCGATGGACTCTAGGACCTAGACGACGTTGACTCTGGTGAGACGGGCTCCTCAAACCAAGCTGACTGCGTTGACTTTCACTTGAGAATCTGAGTTTGGGATCGATGGTGCCTAGGCCCTAGAGTCGATTGAAAAACCAGGTTTTGGAGGGGGGAGGATCAATTTTGATTTGAGGTTCCAAAAATAAAATTGAACACGCCCCTACCCAGAATAGGTTTTTCGATGGACTCTAGGACCTAGACGCCATTGATCTTGATTTCAAAAGTTGATTTCAAGATCGATGCACTCAGTGAGGGGTTTGGTGTTCCCGTGAGATTTCAGGGTGGCTCTGGGCGGGACGCGACAATGATCACGACCTTCAAGCAGAAGGTTGAGGAGCTGCGGGCTAAGCCCCCTGACTCCGAAAAGGCAGAGCACACCACCACACCGCCTTCGAGCAAGAAGGTTTGTGGCCACTATGAGAAGCAAATGCAGAACATGCCTGCAGGCAATCTTGAACTTGTGAAGGACTAACAAACTAAGTTGTGTCCTTGTGTGGTTTAATTGGTTGAGCTCCCAAAAAGATCAGTATTTACGATATAGAATATTTTATAGTATATTACAATATATAGCATATCTATATATGATATTTATACATACAATATGCCTTTGGCACATCTTCAAGGAGATCTTTGATTATGTGAAGTCATTCAGGGACGAATCTGTCGACCCTGATGCTCATCCGGCGTCCTTCATCTTGGAAATCTTAGCACACAGTGATGATAGCTCTCGTGCTCTACATTGCCAGCAACTTGCGACGTGGTATGGGGAGTATGCTGCCTGGCGTGGGAAGGCTTATCTCTTCAAAGGACCTGGACAAGACCCTTAGCATTCCAAAAAGAAAACTCCTTCAGATATTTTTGGGGTTGTGCTCAAACCCGGTGACCCCAACACCCTTCCATGTGCCTCTTGCAAAGCAGTAGTCGCCCACCATCTCAGGACATGGACCCATCTATGGACGGTGAGACCATCAAAGTTCCGATTGTTTGCCTGAAGCTGCTTACCTCTACAAGGTTGTCGCATGTTTTGTAATGTTTTTTGTGGGTTCATATGTCGCTGGCAATGTGTGTTTTGAATTCCGCTCCCAAAGCAAGTTAGTTAAGGTTCGAGAAGCCAGACGACGGCTTGCCATGTGTGGAGGACTTCTTGGGGACCTTTGAGTCCATGCTGTTCGGCGGGGTGGAGCTTGGCAGAGAGCCTCTTGACTGTTCCATGCCGATGTCAGGAGGACCCTGTGCCTAAAATGTGTGTCTTGTAAAAAGAACTCTTTCGGATTCGGGGTTCGACTATGTTTCAACATGCTCCCTGAAGACCAGTGGCAATGTGAACTCCAATGCCTAGACGTTGTGAAGGGATGGACAAGGGCTGCGGTGGTTGCCACGATTTTGATGGCATCTTCGGAGATTGATGTAGGCGACCCTGCTGGTCAAGAACTTCTGAAACCACTAGCGCCTGTCTTGGACAAATGCTGGATGGTTCCAGTGCACGAACTTCAGCATGGATTCAAAAACGCTTTCTCTTCTGACAAACTCTTAAACAGCTTTTTCTCAATTTTGGAAAAATCATGTAAAAGGATATCCAAGACCAAAAAGGGTTCCCACTTTCATTTCAACAAACAGCTGAGATCACATTTGGCATGGACCCTACGACCCGGTCATTCCGCAATTTGTCGTTGTCTTTCAGGGGCTCAGAGAGACAACCTCCCAGCACCCTCCAACTAGCACTTCGCTTCTCGAAGATCCTGGAGCTGAGGGAAGCCCAAGGTCTGTTCGTTCCAGGTACCAGCATGGAAGAACGGGTGGCTGACATCGTCAAGGACTTTCATGGCACGCCAGGTCTCCAGTCCAAACATAGACTGGACAAAGAGAAGCTGGATGCAGTGATCAACATCATGTCTGGAACCAACCAAGTGGCTCAGTTACGTTTCCAACAATATTTTAAATTTTGTTTCACGTGTAGTGTATTTTGTGCTTTAATGTACTTTATGTTTTGCTTTGTGTGCTATATGTATCAGTTTTGTTGAGTTTCTGACATTGTTTTTATGATTTGGTCTGCCAGGCCAGCAGGGAGGTCATTCGCGTGCATTGCGATCGCCATCGATGGAAAGAATGTGCCTTTAGCACGGAGCAGCTGAAGTCGCAGCGGTGGTTGCTGGGGGCGACCCCAAAGGGATCCACATGTCCAGCAGACCTCAAGAAGGCCCTCACGGTGACAGATGAGGCCCAGACATTGCATCTGCAGTTGACTGTGCACTCCTTCCTCGAGAACGGCCGGAGATTGAGGCCATCGGCTCGACCAAGGGTCCGGTGGAGCCCTTCTACATTCGAGAGCCACTCCGACTTCAGTTGCATCTACGCAGCTGTGCTTCGAGAAGCTCGTGGCCTGGCGTCGTTCTCAGCTGAGAAAGAGAAGGCCATCATGAAGGCCTTCTTTGACAAGTGGCTCAGCTAATGCTCAGCTGTTTGTTGCACGTTTTATGCCCAACTCTCCCCATGTTTTTTGTCGTGCTTCGGCCCACCTCAGTGCCAGCCCCCTTCAGTTGCCCAGGGATTACTACAGCGACATCGAAGCAGTTGTTACCTCGCGGCTTGCAAGCTGGAAGGTTCAGCACCTTGGTCTATGGACTGATGTGGTCGAGCCGCATGCTGCACCGATGTCAATCCCCACTGCTGCGGATCTGATGGAAATCGAAGATGAATCTCAGGCCGCCAAATTTAGAGAGATCCGAGCGAAGGTGGCGCAGGATGTGGCCGCTATGACGCAATACAACGCATCAGTGCAAGAGCACACCAGACGGCTGCATGTTGTGAAGGTCATGCACGAGAAGTCTCAGGTCGAAGCCGGGAAGCAGTTACTTGAGTTTGCCAAAGCAACACTGTCACTGTTTTGTTTTGATGTGGTTTGACAAGTTGTCGAACATGCTTTTTTGGTGCCTCCTGCCAAGGCTATGTGAAGGGCACATGGAGAAGCTTTGCCGTGTGAGCCTTCTGGACAAGTCCATGATCGACCCCAAGGTGGAAGCCTCCTACCGGCAAGCAGCTGCATCGGCCAAGGCCATTCAGTTTCAATATGTTTCAATTGCAGTTATGTTATGTTTATCTGTTTTCTGAAGTTCCCAAACCCCAAAAACATGTTAAGAGTTAATTGGGGTTCAACCACTTGGCCCTCTCTTGATTCTGTGGCTGTTCCTTCTGTTGCTTTCTGTGAGGTGTCGGTTGGAGATGTGCATACTGTGCTCTATGTCGATTGCAGCAAACTTGGTGTTCTCCAGCAGCAGGAGATCAACGTGATTGGAGAGCTTGCCGATCGCTACCTCAGCCGATCCCCTGCGAAATCAGTGCTGGTTTTGCTCCCACCACTACTTGTGGGATCGGACTCAGCAGGCTCACTCAGGAATGTCTTGAGGAGATGGGCTTCAAAACAAAGTTGACATGGCGACATGGTGACTTTTCAAAAGATCCTAAAGACAGAAACGGGTTGGGGCGATGTTTGATGCCACCGACGCAGGAAGCTCGAAGACAAACTCCTAGCGAACAAGATCAAGCTGAGGCCTTTCGCCTTAAACATTGACCTCAATGATGTGCGCAAGAACAGGGAGCTGCCGTCAGCGTTTGTGAGCTACCTCGGCGTCAGGGATTCGACATTGCCGCTTCGCGGCACGGCTCACCGAGCCGTGCGGGGAGGATCAGCAGATGGGGCGGATGGCCATGTGACAAACGTGTGCCATGTCACTATGAGTTGTTGTAATTTTTATTTTGGTTGTTGTTCATGTTTCTTTTCAGACCATGTTTCGCCATTTATGTTTTGCTTCAGGCCCCAGTCAAAGCCATACCAGGTTCTGCCAGTCGCCGCTGTGGTTGAGACAGGGCCTTCCGCCCGACCAATTTCCGGCGGCATTGAACGAGAAAGATTTTGTCATACCAACCCCGCTCGACCATCCAGGCCTATCGCATGACGCACGACGAAACCTCACTGACCTTCAAGAAACCAGCCAGTGGTTGGGTGGGATCAGCATCCCGAAGGCTATCTTGCAGCAGTTGTTCAGTACCTGGGTTTGAGTTTACGACCAATTTTTTGTGATCTGATTGAGCCTGTAGTAGATACATGTCTCAATTTGTTTAATTGCAATGCAATGTTCAGCTTGAAGGTGGTGTGCGTGGACAGCATGCTGGGCTAGTTGTCCACGCGACCAGCTATGACGGTGCTGTGAAGATTGCGGCTCTTCAATTGGGGTATCCATGTGTTGGGGTCTCTGCAAACGAAGCCTACCACAAGACTTCGAAGCAGATTGTTAAGCAACACCTTCTCCAGGCTGAAACACGCTGAAACAGATGGGTTTGGCTGAAACAGTTTGTTTATGTTTGTTTGATTTGTCTACGACTGTGTAAAAGTGAAATGTCTTGTTCCCTTGACTAGGCGTGGAAGAATGGGCAGCCTCCCATGAACAACGTGACTCCGAGATACAGGAAGGATGTGGTTCAAGATGAGCTCCCGAGATTGGAGGAGAAACCGCAATTCAAAGTTTGCCAGCTCACACCTGATGGCAAGTTCCAGCTGCCGCAAGACGTGAGAGGCCACTTCATGCAGGATCCAATTTGGGGCCCCGAGTGGCGCGAGATTGTGACCAAGTTCGACCAGCAGTGGGGATCGGTTCAAACCACCACTGACACCAATGCTTTGTCAAGTTCTCCGGCTGCCACTCCTAGTCCTGGTGTGAAGACAGAGGCCCAGGTCAAGAATGAAGTGAAGCTGGAAGCCGATGGCTTCTCATGGTCCAGCCACTTTTCTGGTGAGCCTGAGAGTGAGGATTCTCTCAAAACAAAATTTGGGAGCGACCTGACAGAGATCCCGGGTGGCCAGAACTACAAGTTCTTCATGGCACCAGGCCCCAACCTATGTGGCAGCTACTGAGCCTCTGAAGATCGATCCCAGTGAGGGTCCGTTCTTGACGCACGGGGCAGGGGCCTGGATCGTAGGTGACAAGGCAAAGAAGACCTTGGAGACTATGCCTGATCGTGGGCTAGTTTGCGCGCTGAAAACCGATGAGGCCTTGGTCGTGCTTGAGGACAGGGATTGTCGTGGGGTTTCCACCAAGTTGATGTGTGATGTGTGTGTTTCTCTCTTTACTTTTTGACAGGTTTTAAGTTGGTCTGGATGCAGGAGAACAGTGTGGACTTATCGGTGATCAGTTTGCGCTCAGCAATCCAGAAGATAGAAGCTTCTGGAAACGTGGACTTTTCTTTGGGCGGGCACGTTTGTGCCCGTCCGGCTGATGTGCAGCAGGGCCGTGCTGACGATCACTTCGAGATTTCGCCAGACAGCTCCACCATGCTGCTGTGGAGGCCCAACAACGTGCCCGCGAAAAACATCAAGAATACGAACCTTGCGTCTCAGTTCGCCTTCCCAGCTCTGATGAGCAGCCCATTGGCTTTGGCGCCTGATATGCATAGTTTAGAACTGAAAGTGTATTTTTCTGGGACGTGTATTGGGTGAGGGAGGTGTTCAACAAAGTTTCTATTGTTCTGGCTGGCTTCTTGCAAGGTGTGGCGTTTCCGCTTTTACCCGATGGAGAAATGCCTAGCTGCGGCGAAACCGCTCTGGTTTTTGAAGGGAAGCCTGGAGATGAAGAAGGGTAATATCCAAAGGATCATTTGAGCGCCGGTGTAGTTCATTGGCCTGAGCCAAGGCCCTTTGTGCTGAGTGCGCAAATGCAAGGTTTGTCATCACTCTGTTGGAGTGAGCATGGGGTAGAGTTTGTGCACGTGTGCAGAGGAGCCTGGAATTTTGAAGGGGTTCCGAAAGCATACCAGCCAGTTCGTTCGCGTCAGCAAAACTCTCCGCAGTTTGATCCTAGAGCGTTGAGTACTGGTTCTTGCGCCAAGACTTTGAGTTTGGCTATACACTGTTCTGTGTTTCCTTAGCGCTTTTTGGTTCTGGACATTTTGCAGAAAGGTCTTTCTTCCTAGCTTGCAGGATGCCAAGCTTTGGCACTCAGGTAGTTGTTGATGATGAGTTGTTGGACTATGAACTTAGTCCCCGTTTCGCAGCATCGTTGACCGTGCAGAAGGACCAGCAGGCCACTAGTGCATCCCGCTACATCTATGATCCTCCCCGTGCTCCTTCCAAAAGCTTGTGCATTTCAAGCTGGAAACCTGCAGTTGCCAAGCCTGTTGAACCTGCTCCTGAAGAACCCTGGTTCCAGCAACCCAGCATCATTTCAGGGTCAAAAGGGCGTGTGCTGTGTAGTTTAGACCTTAAATCAATGTGTTTTCATGACAAAGCTGAGGAATGAAGATTCACAGGTGGACGCTGCTGAAGATTCGCAGGGTGATGGGTTGAGTGCGGCCTTGGCACAGATCAAGGGTGAAGAGTGGCCCAAGCGAGAACTTTTTGGTGACCGGCCATCACCTGAGTCTCCTGCTGCTTTTGTGGCCGATGCCTACACTGTCGCAGCATTCCAGGAGGCAAAGCCATCGATGCCACTTCAGGAAGAACCATGGGTGCCATTTCAGGAAGAACCACCGGCGCCAGTTCAGGAAGAACCACCGGCGCCAGTTCAGGAAGAACCACCGGCGCCAGCCCAGGAAGAACCACCGGCGCCACTTCAGGAACCATTGGCGCCGCTTGCAGCCCAACCTGATGTACCAGGTCAGGAACTACCAAACGTCGACGACAAGTCGGATTTGGCGCAGGAGGTTGGGCAGAAGAGGGCGGCAGCTGAAAATCCTGCAGGATCTTCGGCTTTGAAAAGAATGAAGTCCCAGGCAGAAATCGATGTGCATCGATTGAACAGTGCAGCATGGCACCAGAAATGGGTCAAGAAGGGAGTGCCGAGAATCCCGGCTGAGAATGCACATGCTGCTGAGGCCGTTGTTGCCCCAGTTCCTTCTCCTGCCCGTGTGGAGTCTGGCGGGTTGAACCGCGCCCGCCATGAGTTCATCAAGAAGTGGATCGAGAATTGTGGGATGGTCAAGTCAGAGGAGCGCCGGTTGGCAGCGAATCATGCCTGGATGAACTCTGACAAGCGTGCTGAGATGATGGCTGCCCTGAGTGGTGTCCAGAAGTGAGGGGTTTTTGTGCCACTGTGTTTTCTCCTGAGTATGTCATGTTTTCCCAGGGTTTATATTTTGTGGTTTCCAGTGTTTGTTTCAAGATCGCAGTGGTCCATGGGGATTTATGAAGATCCAATCGGGATCTGTCAATTGCTCTCTAGACAGGATGGGAACCGGCTTTCAAGAGATGTGCAAAAGTTTCAGGGATGCATAGTGCCAACCAGAGCTTGATCACGTGTGGATGAATTGTATTACGATCCCTTGTGTAGTCTTGTGCGTGTGTATGTGATATTTTACGTTCACAGTAGTGAGAAAAATGGCTTGAGGCCCAGCAAAGCCTTTCCTGCACTGTGGGGCTCTCAAATCACAGATGTTCATCTCACACACATTTTCACTTTGGTTCGGAAATCGGAAACAATCACATTGGATTTTATCAACCGAGAACGGGTCCAAATTTTGCCAGTGTTTCAAAAACAGTTCCTTTAGCAAGAGGCAAGAGTATCTACCTAGAACATTTTGTCAAGATAAGACTGTACCAGCTCAATTTTCTTTCTGCATCTTTCTGCTGATGCCCAGGTTATGGATCACCAGCGGTTTCTCCGCATCTCCCGGCGTGGTGGGGTAGGAACCATCAAAGGCCAACTTTTTCAAAGACACCAAACGACACAGACACAACAAGCCGACTCAGAAACAAACACAAACGGCAAACAAACCAGTCCGCGCAAACCATGTGTCACTTGACATGTAGTTTGAGTACTTGGGGTACTGGCTGAGTAATGCAGAAAACAACAAACTTTTTGGTACCCTATGTGTTCACATGCCTACTTGTGCTTAGCATGCCCACTGGCACTCTTTGTGCTTAGCATGTCTAGTGGCACTCTTTGTGCTTAGCATGCTGCCTTGCACTCTTTGTGCTTAGAATCCTGCCTGACACTCTTTGTGTTTAGCATGCTGCCTTGCACTCGTTGTGCGTGAATGCACCTGGCACTCTCAGTATTGCTACTCTTTGGCAGCGGAGCTTCTTTGGATCCAAATGTCATGAATTTAGACCCAATTGCCGTGAAAGTAACTTGAGTGCGATTTGTCCGGTCCGCGCGCAACCCTCTGCGGAGATCGTGCGTGTCGAGTGCGCGAAATGCAGGCGAGAGTGCGATTCGCCGGGTGCCCGCGCAACCCTCTGCGGAGATCGTGCGTGTCGAGTGCGCGAAATGCAGGCGAGAGTGCGGTTCGCCGGGTGCCCGCGCAACCCTCTGCGGAGATCGTGCGTGTCGAGTGCGCGAAATGCAGGCGAGAGTGCGGTTCGCCGGGTGCCCGCGCAACCCTCTGCGGAGATCGTGCGTGTCGAGTGCGCGAAATGCAGGCGAGAGTGCGATTTGTCCGGTCCGCGCGCAACCCTCTGCGGAGAACTGGTGACTTTGTAGTACAACTTTAGTACGCGGAGTATCTGGGGAGCTGGAAGATGAGAACTGGCGACTTTGTAGTACAACTTTAGTACGCGGAGTATCTGGGAAGCTGGAAGATGAGAACTGGCGACTTTGTAGTACAACTTTAGTACGCGGAGCAATCTGTGGAGCTGGAAGCTGAGAACTGGCGACTTTGTAGTACAACTTTAGTACGCGGAGTATCTGCGGAGCTGGAAAATGAGAACTGGCGACTTTGTAGTACAACTTTAGTACGCGGAGTATCTGGGGAGCTGGAAGATGAGAACTGGCGACTTTGTAGTACAACTTTAGTACGCGGAGTATCTGGGGAGCTGGAAGATGAGAACTGGCGACTTTGTAGTACAACGGAGTATCTGGGGAGCTGGAAGATGAGAACTGGCGACTTTGTAGTACAACTTTAGTACGCGGAGCAATCTGTGGAGCTGGAAGCTGAGAACTGGCGACTTTGCAGTACAACTTTAGTACGCGGATGAGTCATCTCTCGCGGCTGAGTCATCTCTCGCAGCTGCTCTGGCGCCCCTGCAGCTGAGTCATGTCTCCCAACCACCCGGCTCTCTTGAGAGGTTGACACACACAAACAGAAACCCACACACTACCTCAACTCACTCGACTTAACACTTCTCACTACACACTTACCGGATAACTCGCACTCTGATTTCCTACGTGATGAAAAATGCTTTCGGGCCACTCGTCGTCTAGTTTTTTGTTATGTTGTTTTTTGTTTGGTCCGCACATATCCATTTAATGCAAATAATATACAAACAAATCATCATTTTCTGGTAAATGAAAATGAGCTAGATCAAGCTCAAAAAATTATACAGAGTTAACATGAATTAAGTTAGTTACATAACTTCATCAGAAAGTTACTAACTAACTTAACATATGTTAAAAATTAACACTAGTTATACATAGTTAAAACCTAGTTATACTTAGTTAACACATAGTTGTAACTAGTTGCTAAATGAACATAAGTGATCATAATTATGTTAACTAGTTATAACAAAACACGGATCCCAAGTACCGCTCTAGCTGGATGACTGCGAGGACATGCAAATGTTGAATGATTTTGATTGCCTCCGTTGACACTGTGCCACTCGTCGGACACCTCGTGATGGGTCACCGCACTTGGAAAAGGCCAAGAGGTGTGTCGCACCCTCTGGAGGCCTCGGTCTCAAAAAGCTGGAGACCATGCATGGTAGACATGTGTTCATAGTTTTTCTTATTGTATACAAGTTCCTAATATCTTCATCGGAAAGAGTTTGTATGTATTTGCATGAATTTGAACGTGCAACACGACATCTTTGCGCTCCACTTCTGCGAGGAGAGCCAGTGAGAGACATCTTTGCCCTCCTGGCACATCCGCGCTATCTTGATAAATCTCGATAACGTGTCTTGAAGGGCCCTGATAAGGGCTGCA